AATAATAATAATAATAATAATAATAATAATAATAATAATAATAATAATAATAATAAGTGATCAATATATTTCCTAATGTACACAATGTTTACCATGAAGAGTGTTACACCCTGAATCTGTCTAAATTCTACATACACACACAGGTAAATTTGCCTCTGTGCTTAACTACTTAAGCACTATGCCATGAAAGCATATGCAGGAATGGATGTATAGATCCATGTATTCTTGACCTCAGCACTAGTGGTCAGCTTCACGCTCCGGCTGCTTTATTCCCAAGGAAATTCCCCCCGTATCCATTGGATAAGAGGCTGGGTGACCCCATAACCAGTCTGGAGGGCGTGGAGAAGACAAAAATCTTGCCTCTATCGGGGCTCAAACTCTGACCCCTCAGCTGTCCAGCCCATAGCTAGTCACTATACCTACTCCATTATCCCAGCTATTTACTTTCACACACATAATGGACTTAACGTAGCTTTATGTGTTCCTTAGTTATATTTTTGTAAATATATAACATTTATTATTTCTTCACTTGTCCCACATCCTAATGATAAACTGAACACAGATGTATGTGTAACCAGACTGCCACTTGTTACATAGCACTTTTGCGGTGGGGAGTTTCAGGACTCTTCAGCAACTCGTGAGGGAAGTATAATACTCCATAATGAAGAATAACATTAGGATAAAGCAGGAATGTGGCATATACATACAATATTTTGTGTCTTGTTAAGGTATAATGCTAATACTTGTAATACGAGCTGCATAGGTCTCATGCTGATATCTGTTTTGTAATTATGTTTCTTTGTGTAACACAGGTGTATCTTCACAGCGCAGAAGATATTCCTATAACTGATGTTAGCCCCCAACATGTTTGGGACAGGAAGATTAAGAAGATAGCCTTTGATTCAAAACAAACTTATACAACAGAAGGTGCCCGGCAACTCTCTATTAAACAAAGAAAATGCGTTTTTGAAGATGAAATAAAACTGTTAACCAGTGATACCTACACATATCATTCATGCATGATTCAATGTCGCATGAAAATTGCAAGGGACCTCTGTAAATGTGTTCCATTCTTCTACCAGATAATAGGTATTTATTTATTTATTTCATATTATTATCAAGATGCGTGCATATTCATAGGAATCATANTCCATTCTTCTATCAGATAATAGGTATTTATTTTATTTATTTATTTTAAATTATCAAGATGCGTGCATATTCATAGGAATCATAAAAGCTGAGTAACCTAGTTTCAGCTGGTACAGTGATTATGCTATGGGCTGGAGATTTGAGGAATGGGCACCAGGTTTTTCTCTTCTCCATAACATCCAGCCAGGCTCTGTGGCCCATCCAGCCTCCCATATGACAGTGCTGGGGGCTCTTTCCTTGAGTGTAAAATGACAGGGGCATAAAGCTGACTGCTTAGCTCCTTCTAATGCCAAGTTTATGAATGGTGAATCTACACCTCTACTCCCCCATACTTCTTCATATCATGATGATTAAATAATTAATCACAGAAATAGCTTTATCATTTACCTCTCTATTATAGATGGGAAATTTTTGGTAATGTATGCACATGAATTAGCACAAAATAGGGTTCCTTGTCACTTAATCCTGTTACTTCCAACATGTACAGTTTTTTGTCCTTTATATTATTTCCCATACCACAGGCCTAGTAAGCATAATAAATGCTCTACTTTGGCAACAGATTAGGAGGTTAGATAGGCTTTGTATTTGGTTTAGTTGTCCCTTCATTATAGAACACCCTGCGTCTTGTGTGAAGTGTTTTGGGGAGGTGGAGGGTTTGTCCTCTTCTGGCCTGCATTTCTACATCTTGACCAGAATTTAAACTACCTAAGATATTCAGTATTATCTTAAGCAACAAATTTTAAGCTTCAAATTTCATCCAGTGGCATAACTACAATATCATGTAAAGGTCAAGTAGGTCATAAATTTCCTTTATATCAATATATAATGGAAAATGGAAAATAATATATATATATGTTTTGTTGTTGCAAAAGGTAGAACATAAATGAATGGACACACTATGGCCTTAGACCCTGCATTTTGGCTGAGAGCATATGCATTAGAATTTCCACACGATCAGTTAGCTTGCAGCAAATAGCCTATATCATTCACATAATCTCAATGCTAAGGTTAAAAAGATGTGCCTCTGAGGATGCAGTGACGTGTTAGTTTCAAAATTGCAGCTGATCATACAACATGGAAGTGATGGCATTCAGGTAAAAAAGATCTTACAATGATATGTAAAAATAATATTTTCCTTTGGAGAAGCCTCATGAATTACCGGCTGCATTGTTCAGAAATTATATTTTCCTTTGGAGGAGCCTCACGAATAACTGGCTGCATTGTTCAGAAATTATCACTATCAAGACTGAGGTGTTTTGTATGTAAGACACAGATGATTTCTTTTATTCAACGCTTCTGGCAAAATAATTATTAACTTCAGCCTTCCACATCATGGCCATGTGAAACAAATTATTCTGACAGTAATTAGTAATAAAGTCTGGCAAAGGATGGCAGTTCTAATGGGTTCAATTAGAAGTTGTACTGAATGTGGTGTCATCATTATCATTTCATCTGTACAGGAAATGTCATTATATGATCTTAATTTTCTCAGATGGCTTCAACTCCTGTGACCTCCAGGGGCTACAATGTCTAGGAAAACATAAAGGTAAGATTATAATTTCTCGCTGACATGCTCATTTCAAGATATATCTTCTAGAACAATCCCTCTTAACCCTTACTGTTATTATTATTTATGATTTATCAGGCACATGGTAGTGTAACTCATTGAGGCACTATGCTACAAGCTGGAAGGCCACAGGTTCAAGTCCCGATGAGGTGGATTTTTTTTCAGTTGACCTAATCCTTCCAGCTGCACTATGGCCCTGGGGTTAACTCAGCCTTTAACAGAAATGAGTACCAGGAATCTTCCTGGGGGGTAAAGGGTGGCTGGTGCATAAGGCTGGTAACCTTACCGCCACCTGTCAGCCAACTGTCTAGAGAAAATGTGGGAATCTCAATGTCTCACAACCCTGTGGGCCTTCACAGCCTGTTACAGGTATAGCTTTACTTATTTTACCAGTGGCAGCTTGTAGCTAAAATTAGTGGGGGTGCTGCTCCAGAAGCGCACAGTTCCATACAAAGATTTGGCTACTGACATTAAGCTTAAGGATTATATATTGTATTGTACAAGTATAAAGAAAGAATTAAAGAAAAAAGGACTCATTATATAAATGTTATCGATAATATCATGTGGAAATTGGGGGTGCTGAAGTTCTGCAGTGCCTATATACGGGCCGCCCCTGTACTTTACCATTTATTATTTCCTGTTTCCTCTATTCCTTGTTTGTTTGCTGGTCACATTTCTTGATGTCAAATGTAATGAGCAGGGCCCAATGTTGATGACCTGAAAATATTTAAAAAATTACCTATAAATGACCGAAAAAATGCATAAAAATGACCTAAAATATGATCCAAAAATGTAATATGCAGGGCCCGGATTTTGATGACCTGAAAATATTTAAAAAATGACATATAAAATGAACAAAAAAATACAGAAAAATGACCTAAAGGAGAAAAGAAAGAACACTTCGCTTCCATGTTATTCACATTTCAGAAAACATATGAAGAAAAATTCCCTAAAATGGTCAAAAATGACAAGAAATACCCTTAAAAGTAAAAAAATTTACAAAAAAATTACCCCCAAAATGAAAAAATGACCTTAAACCTAAAATTAAAAAAAATGACAAAAAAATACCTATAAAATTTACATTTCTGTAACCAGCAGCTCATATCCGAGATTTATATATTTAAGAGCATCGCATAGGATACAAGGAAAAAAAGACGACATGTCATCAAAATCCGGGCCCTGGTTATGAGATATACAAGATCCATGATAAGTTCATTAAAAGGACTGTCTCTAGAGCACAATCAACTACAGTTATCCATCTAGACCACACAATTTTGGGGGAGCATATTCAGAATTACAGGAAGGAAAGTCTCACGTCTATTTGTTGGTTTTACTAAATTTAGTTATGAAGCAGAGTAAATGAGACTTTTTAGTAAGAATGTGATTTCAATCCTAGTCACTAAATCAGGTGGCTATAAGCCCTTGTTTATGCAAGCAGATGATTACCACAGTTGGGCAGTGCTTCTTTACAAAGCCATCATAGTATACTAATTACTAACACTGCTAAATGCATTACTTAATATGGGAAAAAGATACACACTTTTAATATTAATTCCCAAAATAGACTCAGCCTCTAAGAGAAATGAGTACCGGGAATCTTCCTGGGGGGTAAAGGGCAGGTGGCACGTAAGACTGACAACCTTAGCACCATCTGTGAGTCGACTGCCTTGAAAAAATGTGGGAGCCTTTATGTCTCACAACTTTCTGGACCTTCATGGCCTGTTACTGCACTGTAACGTGTATCCTTACTGATGACGCCATAGAGATTGCTGATTGGTTTATTTAACAACCTACCAGTCTTGGCTACAATTAATTATAACACAGTTGTGGGGTTTCATACTTTATACCCCTATTCACAAATCAAATCACTCTGTTGTCAGTAGGCTACACATATTAATAACGCGGGAGCTATACAAGTCTCTCTGAATTACACACTCCAAATACAACTGTACTACAGCACACACAAAGTCTTGAAAGCACACAATAAGTCTTCCACTCACTGACTTCTTAGTTATCACATACTGTCACATAAAATCTTGTAACCACGCGTTCGGGTTTTCTTACCGCGACTGCTGCTATATTTCAACTGTGTCACTCCTAATCACACGCTCGCTAATCACGAACTATCACTGATTTTTGCACATGCATCTGTAACTCGTACTCGCCGCTGGCTAGATTCCAACTCAACTGGTAGGCAGTGTGGTTCACTTATATAGTCGCAGCGCTTGCCTGTTACGCAATCGGTACTGCTGTTGGCCGTTACCCTTGTCACAGCTGCGTTGCGTGTTACATCACTGTGTGGAGGGGGGGGTGACAGAGCGCTGACTCACCCGCCACGTCACTGCTGGGGGGGAGGGGTTCTCCTTTGTGCAACATGTCACAATATGTTGACCAGTTTTGAGTTGGCAGTTCTCATTCAAACATTCTAGCTGGAACAAATTATGATGACATTTTCAGTTTTCTTATCTCCGTCTTGCCTGTGCAAGCCAGCAAATTACTAAATTTATTGTGTGATTATTATAGAATCTGTGCTGTGTAAATTTCAGGTAATTATTTTAATTAATGTCTTTACATGATATTAAAAATGAAGAGATATCATAGCAAACCATATGTATAGAACTATTCCTGATTTAACTTGGAAGTTATTATCACAGTCTCTACAAAATGAAATAATTATACAGAAGTGTTAATACTTTTAATAATCTTAAATTTTAATCAATGGAACATGTATATTCAGTTCTGATGAAGATCTATCTATAGCCTTATGTACTGTACATATTTTCTGCATGATAATAGCATTGAGGAGGACTGATTGTACATGACTTTAACAAGACAAAACATTACTGCTACTGAATTTACCTCCATCTACTCTGTAATACTGCAGATGAAATTCGGCTGATAAAATGTCCTTGTGAGCTGGGATGTAGCAATACTGTGTATGAAGTGGACAAGCTAGTTGGGGAAGAGAATACAGACATGTAAGTAGTCCAGAAATACTAATTTTGACTTACTTTTATCACAATTAATTTACATTCCTTTATAGATCATCATGTGAATAAGCAACGTCAGTTATCTTTCTTGACAGCATTGCTGTAAAAATGATAAAGGATATAAACAAATAAAAAATAAATTAGAAAAATCTACCTGTTACATTTGCTTACAAAGTGCTGAGGAGAATGTATATACATAAGAAAGCAGTTAATTACTGGTGGAATGATTAAAATTACATCTTAATGAGCTCACAAGTTGTAACAAAAAACCTAATATTGTTCCAATGATCAACTCAAGATGGTTGAGATTGGAAGAACATGCAGCATGTAAGAGACTCAAGAAATGCATACAAGATTTCTGTTGGGAGACCTCCAAGGAAAGTGAGAACTTTAAAGAGCCATTAATAAATATAATGACAATATTAAATTGGAAAACAGCTGTGAAGATGTGAACTTTACTGAAGTGACTCAGCATAAGGGCCACAGGGTCTACCCTTTTAACAACATGACGTGTTACGAATAAATAACACAGGAAAAGTATTCCAGTCTTACCTAACTATGATACTATTATGGGACATGATAGAATAAAACTGTGACTGATCACTTTGTCAGATGTTAGGCTGTCACAAATTTGATTTTACTGATTGCAGAATTATGTACATTGGCACTGGTGACATACTGGTAAGTCATACATGCAGAAAGAACTGCTTCACTTGATAAAGATACCAAATTGTACATTATGTTAGTCAAAACGCATTGTAAGTTTTACATTAGCTTAATATGAAATCTTTCTAGAAAGGACTGAGATGTGCCAAAACCAGGTTTTTCTCAAGATCAATTAATTGTTCATGGGGTTACCTAAAAAGTTGTGTTTCTAGTACCATTAGAAAAATATTTTAGTGCTGAAAAGAATGGACCATAGGGAGTACTGTTCTCTGGGACGTGTACTCTGGTATAAATTTTCCAAAGCTCCAGAGCAATGTACTTCCTTCTGGTTCAAAGAATAAGCCAAGCAAGCAGCTAGCTGCAAGCATCTACATCCTGTTCTCAATCACTTTCAAACTATTTTTTCCCCCTTATTGTGAAAGACTAAATCTAACACTCTTACATGACAAGAAGAGCTGTATATTGTATTCTATACTGTGAATTTTTCTGTTGAATCAGCATACCTGATGGCCAGTAACTTTTGGAATGAAGTAGTTACAATTCACAGATCACAGGAGGTGTTGAAAATGTTGCACCCTCTACATGTAGATATTTTTTGCAATTAATTTTTTGTCAAAAGTTACAAGTTCAACATTCCTTCTTGTACTTAAAGCACACTAGGCACCAACTTTCAATGGATGGCTTCAGCAATTGTGTTGCCATTCCTGCACTAGACTTCAACACTTCAGTCTCTTGAAATAGACGTTTCAGTGAATTTCTAGATGTATGTGTATGTTCAAGTCTGAGGCCCATGTCTAACCTCTCAGTAAGGATTGGACGATTATGTTTGGGGATTTCTTGTCTACAGTTCCGCTGTTCTAAGTTTATTCAGCAAACTGTGAATTGTTTGTCTGCTGGGAACTCTTTCATCGTGAAATTTAGGTCAAAATTTTCTCCGACATTTTCTAGCAGATCTGTATTTCACACAGGCGTCACACAGAAATACACGTTGCTATAAAGTATACTGCACCGTGATGTACCACACTGCTCACTAACAAACTGAGAAAAAATGGCTAATGGAGCTAATAACTGCTGCCTACTTCTGACAAATCATAAATAAACACCCACAAATGAACCACACTGCTCGCTGTGAAAGGTAATGCTATGAAGTGGTCTACAAGTTAATTATTTCCCTTCATTCCAAATGTTACCGGCTGATTCATCAGCAAAAGCAGGTGGTGCACCAGCCACTATGAAGCATACAGCCATGAACTTGTCAGTTGTGTAAGACTAAATTTTCTGAAGTGAAAAGCAACAAGCACTAACCGAATTCAATCTGCTCTTAATTTCACCACAAATTTAATTGAATTTGCAGTTGTCATACAGTTGATCTGTGTCACAACTCTGAAGAGTAGCTACCTTTGTAACACAAATGATACTAACACCTACTACATTGTCCTTCAGAATTACCTAATGTAACACTGCAGTGACAAGTGCTTTAATATTTCTTCCACGTTAATTTCTTTTTGTTGTGATTGTTTATGTATGATCTTTAACAATTCTGTTGAAGTGCAAGTTATTTTTATCGGCGAGTTATATATTGGTTTTTTCTGCTTTATTTTTCATTATATCTAAATGAATCTTAATGCCTTGCAATTCTGTATATCAGGACTAAATATCTGGAAGTTGCATTCGTATCCTGGCCTATGGTACGTTACAAGAGAGAAGTCCTGTTTGGTTGGGTTGATCTCCTGGGTAAGTATGTTTAAATATGCATAATAAATTTAATAACTTTCAAAAATTTTATGTGCTGTTCAATACTGATCTGACTTCCTATAAAGTATAACCTATATAATTTATTATTGCTTTTATTGCTAACTAGAGTCATACATCACAGCTATGGAAAAATCTGATTGTAGTACATATATATTAAAGTAAAGTTGTCCCTGTGCTCAACGAATTAAGCACTACGCCATGAAAGAGTATGGGGGAGTGAATGTATAGATCCACATTTTCTTTACTTTGGCAGTAGTTGTAGGTGAACGATCAGATTCACGCCCCTATCATTTTACCCCTGGGGAAAGTGCCCACGGTACCCATTGGGAAGGTGGTTGGGTGGACCCCAGAACCGTTCTGGACGATTTGGAGAAGAGAAAATTCTTGACCCTACTGGGACTCCAACGACAACCCCTCCAACATCCAGCTTGTAGCCAGTCGCTATACTCACTATGCTACCCTGGCTCCTTGTAATATCTACTTAATCCACCAAAAGTGCTCTTGTGGACCGAGATACTAACTTCTACAGGTAATTTAAAGCATCACAAAGTTATAAATATTGTTATCATTACAATATTTTTAGTTATATAATGTTTTACTTTGCAGAAGCTAATTCTGTGGTTATACGACATGCTGTCAAAACAGCGGTATCAATCTCACACTTTCTTCTTATATATATGCAAATGTACCCTTCTATTCATACACAGTTTGTCCAGGTTCTGTTAGGACTGTGTTCATTGAAAATAAAAGACATGAATTATTTTCACTCTTTTTATTCAAAACAGTCTCTTTCTGAATCAATACATAGCTGGAATCGATTGAAAAGTTTTCAAAAACAGTCACTGTAATCCTTTTGTGGAATTGCATTTAAAACTGCGGTACATTCTCTTTGGATGCCCTGGGTGGTGTCGTGATGGTCTCCTTTCATCGCCAGCTTAACTTTTGGGAACAACCAGAAACCTGCTGGAGCCAAATCTGGCAAATATGGAGAATTACCAAGGACTGTGATCCCTCTTCTGGCCAAAAAATCGGGCATGATCTTCGATTTGTAGGGGGGCGGGCATTGTCGTGGAGGAGAGACCAGGAACCTTGCTCTCGATAATCAGGTCGAATTCGAAGATTTCTCGCCCACAAACGATTGAGGACTCCGAGATAATAATCAGAATTCACTGTTTGACCTTCTGCAGAAATTCCTTGTGAATGATTCCTTTGGAATCGAAGAAAACAGTTAACAGTGACTTTACTCGACTCTTTTGCGTGCGCACTTTCTTTGGTTTCGGCTGGCTACTTTGGGCTCAACCACGCTGCACTCTACCGTTTTGTTAGAAGCTCGTATTGAAAACACAATGTCTCGTCACCAGTAACAATCGATTTTGTAAATTTTGTATCACTTTGGGCTGACCGACATGTCTTTTCAGTGTTCCACTCTGGCATGTTTTTCATCACCTGACAGCGCATGTGGCACAAACCACGCACAGACCTTCCGTTTGCCCAAATCCTCAGTCAAAATTTGGTGCACAGTACTTTTTGGTACTCCCAAAAGCTTCTCTAAGAGCCTTGCAGAAACACATCTGCCTGATGCAAGGATTTCGGTCCCCTTTTTGCACATTTTCTTGAATGTGACTTGTTCTCGGCTTTGATGCACGTGGAGCGTCTTCAATGTCCTCCCTGCCGTCATGAAATACAGCATACCATCTAAAAATGCTTGAGTGACTCAAACAATCATGACCGTACACACTTTTAATCATTTTGTATGCTTCTTTGGCTGTTTTGGCTAACTTCAAACAAAATCTGATGTTGGCTCTCTGTTCAACCACCATTTTCCGATGAGCATCAGAACAGTACTATTACATTCAAGGTCAGAACAAATGATGCAGCGATGCTTGCGCTTTGAAATTATAGAGAGCCACAGCTAAAACTTCAAGAATCTTAATGCCACAACTCACCAACAGATGGCATTGCAGGGCAAAATAAAAAAAAAAAAGTCCTAATGGATCCTGAACACACCGTGTATACATGAAAGTCTTGTAATTGCAAAATTTAACATTATAATTAGGGAGTTTTGGACTACCATAGCACTGAATTACAAGGTCAACACANGGAAGTGTGTGCATGGATGCGAGCAGTGTTCGAAGATGGGTGAAACATTTTAAATATGGGAACACCAGCATCGAAGATGAGCCTCGGAGTGGTTGTCCTCAAACAGCCTCAACTGAACGCAACAAGGAAAGAGTGGATGAGATCATTGAAGATGACAGGCATGTGACTGTGGACACAACAGCCCAAAAACTTGGAATAGCGCACAGTGCAGTACAGGAGATGACTGAAAGCTTGGGCTATAGAAAAGTTTGTGCTTGTTGGGTCCCGCGGTTATTGACCGAAGACCACAAAGATTAGCAAAAAGCCATCACCTCAGAACTGCTGCAGAGATATCGACACGAAGGCGATGATTTTTTACTCTGTATTGTGACAGATGATGAAAGCTGGTTTCACCATTTCGAGCCTGAAGTGAAACAGCAGAGTATGGAATGGCACCATTTGCATTCTCCATCAAAAAAGAAGGCAAAGACAGTGCCATCTGCTGTGAAGGTGATGGGCACAGTCTTCTGGGATGCAGAGGGGTTTATGCTGGCTGAATTCCTGGAACCTGGGCAAACCATCAATGCTGCTCGTTATGTCCGGACACTGCACAAGCTCCGTCGTGCATTATGTGATAAACATACGGGACAAAACATCATCATCCTGCATGACAATGCTCATCCCCAAGCCGCTCGCCTCACATTGGAAGCAATTGAAAAGATGGGGTGGGAAGTTCTTCCACACCCCTCCTATAGCCCTGATCTGGCACCCTCCGACTACCATCTTTTCGAATTTGTGAAGGATCAGCTGTGTGGACAACGTTTTGAGACAAGGGAGGCAATTCAGAAAGCAGTGCGTCAGTGTCTTCGGATGGCTGGAATGGAATTTTACAGAAGGGGAATTTTCAAACTCCCAGAACGCTGGGACAAATGTGTATACAGAAGTGGTAATTATGTGGAAAAATAAAGAAAGGTCTGTAGATTGAGGTGTTGTATTTGGTTTGTCAATAATAAAGCATGTTACTTTACAAAATATTGTTGCTGATGACTTTCAGTACAACCCTCGTACATGAAATAGTATATCAAGAATGAACAAGATGTCTTTTGTTTCAGTATATTGCATCAATTATTGAAGTAAATTCAATTCAATTGAATGCTTTATTAATATGCTTACTCAACAGTGCAAACGTCAACAATTTGAAGATACATAACACTTTGATGAATTTGAGGCATGTGGTAGCGTAGTTCGTTGAGGCACTATGCTATAAGTTGGAAGGCTGCGGGTCTGAGACTCAATGAGGTGGGTATTTTCAATTGACCTACGAGTACTATGGCCCTGGGGTTGACTCAGCCTATAACAGAAATGAGTACCAGGAATCTTTCTGGGGTGTAAAGGGCGGCTGGCACGTAAGGCTGACAACCTTACTGCCATCTGTGGGCTGACTGTCTATAGAAAATACAGGAACCTCAATGTCTCACAACCCTATGGCGCTTCATTGCCTGCTACAAGGACAGCTTTACCTTTAATACTTAGCTGTGAATATTATATTATATTACACTGCATTCCATTTCATGGATCCAAAGTTAGTCAAAATGACTGTAGGATGTGGAATATGTCATATAAATACAAAACATATGTGTTGTCCCAATGGAGTTCTCACACAAGAGAAACAAAGAATACACAGTGACTACATACAAGGCTATTTAAAGATACATAAGTTATATTCTAGACAACAGATATTCATCAACAGAGTAGAATGAATGTGTATTTAAGTATCGTTTCAGTGCTATTATAAATCGTGCCTTTCTCTCATAAGACCTTTGAGATCAGATGGTAGGTTATTAAAAATGTTGATCCCAGCATAATATGCACTTTTCTGAAAGCACGAGAGGTTAGCAATTGGTTTATGAAGACTGTGTTTATGTCTGAAAATGTTCTTTGTACATTGATTTGAGAGTGTCAACATTACTAATATGTAACATGAATCTAACTGCATAACATGCTCTACTTAACTTTGGAATCAACTGATCGATATGGTTTTTCCAGTTTAAATGATTATCAATTTGCAAGCCAAAGAATTTTGTGTTTACTCCCTCTTCTATATATTTATCATTATATCCTATATTTAATGGATAGTGTGGTGAGTTTTTTGTTATAAATTTTATTACATTTGTTTTTTCTAGGTTCAGGGACAGCTTGCTTGCAGAAAACCATTTACTCATTTGCGAAAGAACCTTGCTTGATAACATGCAGAAATCATCTAATTTTTTACCAGAAATTATAACACTAGTATCATCTGCAAATATTATAGGTATTGATGAGGTCCTTAGTGTAGGAGGTAGATCGTTTATATAAATTATGAAAAGCAAAGGCCCCAAAATTGACCTCTGTGGAACTCCATGTTTTATTATTCCCCAGTTTCAGTAGGTACTTTGGATTGAATTTGATGATTTTATTTCAATCTTTTGTTTCCTATCTCTAGGTAGGATCTGAACCAACTTAACCTTGTTCCTTGAATGCCAAAAAAATGTAATTTAGTTAATAAAATTTCATGATTTACACAGTCAAAAGCCTCTGCTAAGTCACAGAATATTCCACCAACATGCATTTTTTGATTAATATTTTTCAACACACTGTCTGTTAACTTAAAGGCTGCATTTTCAATGGAAATTCCTTTCCTAAAACCAAACTTTTCTGGGACTAGTATACTGTTACTCCGAAAATAATGGCTTAACCTACTGTGCATAACTTTTTCAAGTACTTTAGAGAAAGTAGTTAGTGTTGATTTTCTTTGTGTCATGCTTATATATCACTTAAAAGCCATATTGGATGAGAAGAACTTTTATTATAATACAAAACAGAAACAAATGAATTCAGATCACTATTACCAACTTGAACATTTTTACATTACTAGATTCTCAATATTCCTCCTTAATTTCAACATGTTACAAACACATTTCTCATTTTCCTCCTTAATTTCAAAATGTTGTCACCATTATTAGCTGTTTTACAAAGTTAAATTGAATAACACTCAGTAATTCTGGTCTTCAGATTACAAAATTAGTACATGTAATTACAATTTTCTCGGTCTTATCAAAATCAGACTTATTTCTTCTTAAGTATAATATCTCTAAACTTGGTAAATTTCTCTGGTGATAGCGGTTTTGTTAAAATGTCTGCCACCTGAGTTTCAGTGTTACAATATTTGATTGAGAACAGTTTCTCTTTCAACTGTTCACTTACGAGTATGTAGTGATACCTAACGTCTATGTGCTTACTCCTACGCATTACTAGTCCAGATTCTATTAGCCTGATTGCACTCTGATTGTTGGCACACAGTTCAGCTTCAACCCTTTTTCCTGTCAACTCCTCTATCAACATCTTTAGATATTTCAATTCTTTGCAGCACTCAGCTGCTTCAATATATTCGGCCTCAGTGGTTGATAATGCAACAATACTCTGTTTCCTACAGCACTAGGGTTCCCAGATACCCCGTTTTCCCCAAATTCTTCTGTTTTTTCACCCAAATTTTGTTCCTCCATTTATTGTTTACCCAGAGTGGATAATTCTCTGTTTTATATTTAAGTCCATTGAGAATTATATTTCATGGGTTAAATATTATCATAAAATTTCTGTAATCCTTGGAAAATTACATTGTTATAGTTTCTTTCATTATGTTGCATTTCATGAATGTTGGCAACACTTGAGGTTCTAAACCAAAGCAGAGGTTGTTGGTGATAGTGTATTTTTAATCCGTTCAATCTTCGTTAGAAAGTCAGTGTCAAGTTAGCAAAAATGTTTGAGGGCGAAGAAGATCCATCAAAGACTCCTCCACGGAAGAAGTTGAAATTCCAGGCCAAACATAATCAAATATATCTTAAGAAATGGGAAGATATGTTTTTGTGGGTTAAGCCGAGACCAGGCAAGAACCGGGCATTTTGTATGTTGTGTAGGAAGGATTTTAGTATTCCGCACGGTGGACAAAGTGACCTGAGGCAACATGCACAATACAAGGGACATAAAATTAAGGAAAAATGTAATTCTGGAAGTTCAAATAAACTTTTGAAATACTTTGTTAATTTAAACAATAAAGAAGAATATGACAACAGCACCGCGTGCGAACTTGGTTTAGTGTATCATGCAGTGAAACACAACTTAAGTTATTCCAGTCTGGACTGCGGAAATAAATTTGTGTCCCATATTTTCAGCGATTCAGCGATTGCTTCCAAACTTTCATGTGGATGCACTAAAGCGGAAATGATAGTGAAGTATGTTCTTGCTCCTAAAAGTGTAAATGACTTTGTGTCTATTTTAAGATGTCCAGAAAATACTTCAAATTTTCTTTCGTTGGCTACCGATGCATCAAACAGAAGCACTCGAAAAATGTTCCCTGTTTGCATCCGGTACTTCGACCTTTTAAAGGGAGTGCAGAATAAACTTCTAGATTTTGTTGAAAGTGCTGAGGAAACGTCTATGGCAATTACTGGTTTGGTGCTGCAGAGCTTAGAAAAGCACAACTTGGATGTAAATTATGTGTCTTCTTATTGTGCAGACAATGCCAATGTGAACTATAGAAAAACACATCCCGTATATCAGTTGCTGCGAAGTAAAAACCCAAATTTACTGAAAGCTGATTGCTCTAATCATGTCATACATAACAGAATTAAGTTTGCAATTGACAGATTAGATGTTGATGTTGAAAGTGTAGTCTTAAAGATATATAATCACTTCTCTGTCTCTGCCAAAATAAGAGAAGAGTTAAAATCTTCTTTGAATTTATGCATTTGGAGTGGACTGAGACTTTGAGGCATGTTCCAACTAGGCGGCTGTCATTAACACCAGCCATTTCTCGACTGCTTCAGAACTGGGAAGCAATGAAAAGTTACTTCAATAGTATTCCCAACTGTCCAACATTATTATCTAACATTTTCATGAAAGATGACCCAGAGGAAGCAGTGTTGCCTGAAATCTACTTTAATTTCTTAAGTAATATTGGAAGTTAGCTGGAAATGGTAGATAAAACACTGGAAAGGTCTGACTTGTGTACTAGAGACTTACAAACAAATGAAACTTCTCAGTTCTAAAATCCAGCAACTTTTTTGGTAGCAAAGCAAAAGAACTCATTAATGGATTGTCTATGCCATTACAGAAAAATGTTACTGAAGACCTGAACAGCTTTTATAGCAATATGTTTCAGTATCTGCAAAAAAGATATGATGTGACAGATGACAATCCCTATGCATCCCTTGCAGCATTTTCTCTACAGGAAGGGATTGAGTTCAAAGATTTTGAAAAAGCCATAGAAGTGTTTCAGCTAAGCGAAAATGTTTGCATTGATGACTTGTACGAGGAGTTCAGCAGCCATTGAGATTACCTTTGCAACAGTGTGAACAGATATGGTGATTATGTAGCAAACTGGCTTACATTTTTTCTTCAGTACCTGAGCATGATGTACAAAATATTTCCAAAGTGGTAGGATTTTTGTTTAGCATCCCTGGCTCAAATGCTTTTGTGGAGCAAATCTTTTCATTCATGAAAAGTAAGTGGAGTGAGACAAGAAACAGATGCTCAACAGATTTAATCAAGGCAGGACTCCAGGTGACAGTGAACTATGAAAGCAAGTCCTGTTCAGAATTTTATAAATTTTCAAAGGGTGATGTTCAATTATTAAAAAGTGCTAAGAGTTCAGTGAAATACAATTAACAGAATCTGATCGACCAGCCCTTGGAAGTTATAAATATGTAGTATTTAATATTTGTGTGTTCTACAAATGTGTGCTAGGTAATATTTTGTGCATTCTATAAATATGTAATAGGGCTACGTAATATTTGTTTTGTTCTATAAATGTGTAGTAGGTCTATGTAATACAGATGTGTAGTAGCAGTTTGTAAGTTATGTAGTATGTTGATTATGTATATTTTATAGCCTATTAGTTGCGAAAAATGTCGTTATAAACGAGACATTACTCCTTTTTTTTATTTTACAAAATCTGGGAACCCTATAGAGCATCATGATATTGGCCCCCTGACATTATAATTACATATCCCATTACACTTTTCTTATCCTTTACATCCCCTGCATAATCAGCATCACTCAATGCTTCCAGTTTCACAGTTTTGGAGTCAGATGAGGTATATTTTATTCCTGAATCTCGTGTACCTTTCACATACCTAAGGGTCCTTTTCACATTCTGAACAGCTATTTTGTCAGGATTTTCCAAGGTTCAACTTTCCACATTTACAGATAATGCTACATTGGGTCTGATTTTAGAAGGCTTCCTACAGCTTCTCTGTAAGGAAATCTTATGTCATTTCCTCCTTTGTCATTTGTTGGTGGGGTCATGACCATGGGTGTTTCCATTTCTCGACTTTCTTGCATGTTGTATTTTTCCAACATTTGGCTTGCATATTTGGTTTGAGAGATATGTATCCCATCTGGTTGCCTCTCAATTTGTATTCATAAATAAACTTTTGGATTTGTGGTTTTTGTTATTTGGAATTGATTTTCCAGTTTCAGCAAAATTTCCTCTATTTGTCTTTCATCCTCTCCCATGATTATCCCATCATCCACATGAATGGCCATAAACAAACTATTGGCATCATTCTTAAAAATGCACTGGTCAGATTTTAGTTGGTTTAGACCTTCTTCTTTTAGGAAGGTTGTCAGCTTCTTGTTCCATTGCNTCTCCTTTGTCATTTGTTGGTGGGGTCATGACCATGGGTGTTTCCATTTCTCGACTTTCTTGCATGTTGTATTTTTCCAACATTTGGCTTGCATATTTGGTTTGAGAGATACATATCTCATCTGGTTGCCTCTCAATTTGTATTCCTAAATAAACTTTTAGATTTGTGGTCTTTGTTATCTGGGATTGATTTTCCAGTTTCAGCAAAATTTCCTCTATTTGTCTTTCATCCTCTCCCATGATTATCCCATCATCCACATGAATGGCCATAAACAAACTATTGGCATCATTCTTAAAAATGCACTGGTCAGATTTTAGTTGGTTTAGACCTTCTTCTTTTAGGAAGGTTGTCAGCTTCTTGTTCCATTGCGATGGTGCTTGCCTTAGGCCACATAATGCCTTTTTCAGGAGACATATCTTGCCAGTGTTCTTGTATCCTTCTGGTATCTCCATGTAGTTTTCCTCCTCAAGGGCTCCATACAGGAAGGCAGTCTTCACATCAAAGGTTTGGATGTTCATATTCCTACATGCTGCTATGGCAAACAGTACTCTACGAGAATTCATGTCAAAAANTTTTGTCCATTGTTTCTCCTTCCATTATCCTTGTGGTCAGCATTTTCATTTTCTCCATCCTCTTCAGTATCTGTTGGTTCTTCTTCATTGCTGTCAGCTTCGGGTTCTTGCTGCATTTTGCTATCTTCCAGATCTGGAGTAGTTGGCTTGACTTCTGGATCTGTCACTCTTTCCATTTCCTCTTGTTTATCTGTTGTCACAGGTTTACTTGTGAATGTCACATCTCTGGAGACATAGGTCCTTTCAGTATTTGGATCCCATATTCTGTAGCCATTTGTGTTGTATCCAATGAATATTCCTTTCTTGCTACGACTGTCCAACTTTTTCAATGGTCCAAGAATTTTAGTGTACACTTCTGAACCAAAAACCTTCAATCCAGCCAGATCTGGTGTTTTACCATACCAATTTTCCACTGGCATTCCATTCACTGTCACTGTTGGACTTCTGTTTAGTAGGTATGCAGAAGTGAGTACAGCTTCATCCCACATTCCCTTACGTAAACCTGAGTAAAAAATCAATGCTCTTGCCTTTTCCACAAAGGTACGGTTCATCCTTTCGGTAATGCCGTTTAGCTGTGGCGAATATGGTGTAGTAAAGTCCCTTACAATCCCCTTGCACTTACACCATTCTCTTATATTCCCCTTCATTGTCACATCTTAGTCTTCTCACTCTTGTATTGAAGTGATACTCAGCTTCATTTACATATTCCTTCAGAAAGGTATACACTTCACTCTTATTTTCTAAGAGGTACATCTTACAAAAATGCGTATAATTCTCCACACACGTATGGAAATATTTCTTATTGTCATAAGTGGTGGGGTCAATTGGTCCACCCACGTCACTAAATGGCTTTCCAGCCCTACTTCTTTCTGTATCAAATGGGAGTCTCACTTGTTTGGCCTGCATATAAACTGGACATATATCAACATTTTTACACTTGCTCACACTTTCTGGTATCCCTTGGCATATCTCTTGTAGTTTCCTAAGATTCGCATAACTTATGTGACCTAGCTTTCTATGCCACTCTACACTTATATCTTGCTGAGTCATCATATCTTCATTCCTCGCACTAAAGTAAATTACGAACAATCCATTTTCATCCTTTTTTCTTTTGATTACATTTTTGTCCTTGAATATCTGGACTTTCTCTTTTGTAAACAACACTTCTCCATCATTTTCTGTAATACAGTGCACTGACAGCAGGTTTATGCTGAGTTCTGGAACATATGAAACGTTTTTCAAACTATCCCTCCGGCCGCACTAGGCCCTGGGATTTACTCAGCCTCTAACAGAAATGAGTACCAGGAATTAATTAAATGATTTTCCTGGGGAGTGAAGCGTGGCCGGAGCGTAAGGCTGACAACCTTACTACCATCTCTGAGCCGACTGTCAAGGTAATGTGGGACCCTTAACGTCTCACACCCCTATGGGCCTTCACGGCCTGTTACAGGGATAGCTTTACTTTACTTATTTTACACTCTTTAAATTCCAAATTGCCTATTTCTTTTGCAGTCATACTTTGATTTTTCTTTGCTTCCTTTATACATTGAGTATACTGCTTAGTATGTATCAAATCAGTCTTCACATCTGTCATATGACAGGTGCTACCACTATCCACTACATACATTTTGTCTTTTTCACTTGCATCACTCATATGGGTTTCTGCTGCTTCAGCTAGAAAACTGATCTTGCTTCTTTTATTCCTATCATTAAAATAACAGTTCTTTTCAGCATGGTTCGTTTTCTTACATATTGTACATTGTTTTCTCATATCACCGTCCTTATTTCCAAAGTAACAGTCCTTTTCAGAGTGATTATTCCTTTTACCGATAGATCAATTTCTCTTACCTTTGTTGGGGCAGTTGATCTGGGCATGACCT